AAGGAGTGGCTCCGTAAGAAGCATATCAAGGTTCTGGAGTGGTCTAGCCAGTCTCCAGACCTAAATCCAATAGAACAAGATTGGAGGGAGCTGAAACTCCGTGTTGCTCAGCGACAGCCCCGAAACCTGACAGATCTAGAGGAAATCTGTGTGGATGAGTGGGCCAAAATCCCTGCTGCAGGGTGTGCAAACCTGGTCAAGAACTACAGGAAACGTTTGACCTCTGTAATTGCAAACAAAGGCTTCTGTACCAAATATTAACACGGATTTTCTCAGGTGTTCAAATACTTATGTTCAGCAGTGCAAGACAAATTCTTTAAAAATCATACAATGTGATTTCCTGAATTTTTTTTTTTTTATTCTGTCTCTCAGAGTGGGAATGCACCTACAATGTGAATTTCAGACCCCTCCAGGATTTCTAAGTGGGAGAACTTGCAAAATCGCAGGGTGTTCAAATACTTCTGTTCCTCACTGTATCTATAGGAGGGGTTTCCACCATCCCTGCTAAGCGTAGGCCTTATTTTAGGTAGTAAGGCAGTGGATGATTTCTGGTGTCAGTAGGGCAGTGGACAGTTTCTAGTGTCCGTAGGGCAGTTTCTGTTGTCATTAGAGCAGTGGACTGTGCCAATAGGGCAGTGGACAGTTTCTGGTGTTAGTAGGGCAGTGGACAGTTTCTAGTGTCAGTAGGGTTGTGGGTGGTTTCTTGTTGTCATTAGAGCAGTGGACTGTGTCAATAGGGCAGTGGACGGTTTCTGGTGTTAGTAGGGCAGTGGACAATGCCAGTGAGGCAGTGAATGGTTTCTGGTGCCAGTAGCGCAGTGCAGCGTCAGTAGGGTAGTGGACGTTTTATAGTGTCAGTAAGGCAGTGGACGGTGTCAGTAGGGCAGGGTCAGTAGAGCAGTGGACGTGTCACAGACGGACATAGGTTTAACTCTACAGCTGCCTGGGAGGGAGCCAAGTGGGAGGATCACAATATACCCCTAAATTGCCAGGCACCTTTACTATGTAACCAGCAGCCAGTGCTTGTAGCAGAATACCTTGGGCTGCATTTTAATCAGAGGAGCTATGGGGGGGGGGTTGTAATATCACAGTCTGCATTACTATCTGGCAGACCCCCACAACCCCAACTACCACCCCTCCACCAACTGACACACTCCCCCACCCTCTTCCTGTCCCTCATCAATTAATCAGTGGGTGCTTTAAGTTGTACATGGTACAGGTATCTGGCAATTGAGGGGTTAATTGTTAGTCACCTGCTCAGCTCCCTCTACAGCCCCTATAGGATTAAAGGAGAAGTACGGCCGAAGTTCTTTTGGCTGTACATCTCCTGTGGATCACAGGAGTGCAGTTCGTTCTGCACTCCTGTGACCCGTTTTGGGCGTCGCTCCTGTGACCCGTTTTGGGCGTCGCTCCTGTGACCCGTTTTGGGCGTCGCTCAGCCGGTCCAGGCTGGGGAAAGATCCCGTCTTTAAAGTCGGGATCCACCCCAGAGTCTGGAGTGGCAGCTGGCTCAGCCTCTCAGCGAGACTGACAGTCTCTGCTCACAGTGGCGGCAAGAACTGTCAAGTTTTCACACTAAGAGCAGGCAGGGGACAAATGCAGCATTGGACTGATGCTGCATCCACCTAGGTAAGTATAATTTAGGAAAAAAACAAACTTCTCTATTAAGTCTGTGTAGCCTGCCCCCCCCCACACCCTGTGTTTTGCTGCGGATCGGCACTTGCAATAGTGATGACCTATATCTGTGTCCCTGCTCAGCTGTCACAATGCCATGCTTCTCAATCTCTCCCCTCTCTACTCCTGCCTCTGTTGTTTCCCAGCATGTATGGAATTAAATTATTTCAGTGTAATCTTCGGCTCTTGAGCCAGCGGTGGAAAATGAGCTGAAGAAACATGCAGGAGAGGGAAAGGAGGATGCTGTGAGGCATGGGGCAGCAGTGACAGCTGAGAGGAGAAAGAATGAATTTATGACAGGCTGACCAGTTTCGTATAGCAGAGGTGGATGACAGGGAGCTGGAGGTATATATGGGGGGAGAGGAAGAGGTGGGCAGGTATCAGGCGACAATGAAAGGTGGCTGAAGGGGGAATGACTAGCTGGTCTTGTAATAAAGTGGATGACATGACTAAAAACAGTAACCGGTGCAGGATGAGTGAGAAAGGTTGAATGGTTTCAGAAGAAGAACTAGTGCTGGCAGGGAACAGAGGAGGGAGGAAGTCATTTTGAGGAGACCACCTCTGTGAGCGCTACAGACCAGGATTCTGCAAGTCTCAGTTTGCCCACTACAGCGAGCAGGGACAAACGTACATCCCTGCTTACTGTGGATTGAACTACAGAAGGGATGTGCCAAGACCAATGGCTGGGGGAATAGGAGGAATAGCAGCCACTGGTCTTATAAACAGGAAACCCCTGGAAATTAACAGTTTCATTTGAAAATCATCAGGCTATTTTGGAGCAAGTAAAGAGTTAAGAAGATGGATGACATTCAGTAAAGGTAGGAGATCAACAAAAATGACATGTAAAAAATTTTTTGCCTGGAGTTCTGCTTTAAGTTTGTGAACAAGGCCTCACTCATGTCAGGCATAAAAATCCATACCCCATGGAGGGGCAGCATTTACTCACACAAGGAGGCATATGTGTCTGGGTCATGTACCCAAACCGGCATGTATGTCTCATTGGGAGGAGCAGCTGTGTCTTTGCAGCTGCTGCATCCCAATTAACAGCAATGAGACTGCCTGAAGGGCAATGTATGTAACACCTGTTCATCCCCATGTGGGTAAACACGGTCCTCACATGGGCAATGGACTCATATGTTACGTGTGAATGAGGCCTAAAACTGATTTTAGAACTTCAAAATGCACATTTTCCACAGTTCTTTCTGTGAAAGAAAAAAAAAGAAAAAACATATTCATGGTTTTCTTTCAGCAGGAAAATCACTGAACTACAGTTCCCAGAATTTTTGACACATATTCTGTCATCGGCATTGTTCTATAAAACATATTGCAGAATTTACATGTATCATCGAATCATCTTAGGCTGAAACTGAACCTTGAGTTGTAATGCTATGAGGATGTTTGGAAAGACAATACTACAGCAATCTAATATAGGAGGTCATTAGTTTAAGTTCTGCATGACTATTTCATACCCTGTTGCAGCTAGTTCTCTGTGTACAGTGTATACTACTCATTTAAGAAAAATAACCTATTTTTCTATACAGTCAGACGAGTTGAGATGAGTGAGTGCCCCCCCCCCCCCCCCCGAATCATACCAGGTTGCATGCCCTTAACATGGGGGGGGGGGGGGGGGGGTGCATGCTTTGGGGCAGTGGGAGAGTACCCCCCAAAAGCACCTTGTCCCCATGTTGATGAGGAATAGGGCCTCTTCCCCACAACCCTGGCCAGTGGCTGTGGGGGTCTGCGGGTATGGTGGCTTATTGCAATATGGAAGCCTCCTTTAACAACATCCCACCCTCCCTATGTGAATGAGTATAGGCTACATATTGTCATTGGGAGACCTCACACCTCACCCTCAATTGTCACCGATTCAACATGCCCCATGTCGATGATGTCACAAGAGGATGGGGTCTACTGGTGACATCACCGGATGGCCCTGCCCCTTATTTAAGAGCTGTCAGATGGCAGAGCTGCCAGATGGCGGGAGCCTTTGTCGGGACCGAAGGTTTTTTTTTTTTCTTTAATGTGTGCATGAACACATAGGATAACATGCAAGGGAGTTTAGAGACAGTTATGAGAGAAAAAAAAAAAAAAAAAGTCTGATGCCCAAAACAGCAGCTGAAAAAACACCCACTGTGCTTGAGTGCTAAATCTGCCCTTTACTGTCCACATCAGCCACATTAGATGATGGAATTGTGTGATAGCCAGTGGCTGCATCGCACCACCTGTGCTCTTTTTGTCCTGCCTACTAATATTCTCTGTGTACAGTGATCAGTCCTGAAACAGGAAAGGTTTAGATATATATCAAAAAAGCCCCTCAACCCACTTAATCAAATGGGGGGAAAAAGGGGGTGTATATTTACAAAGTGGGTATTTAGTTGTGCCACAGAGAAATGACATCATACAGAGTATAAAATAAAACAAAGTTTAGAAAAAAAAAAAAAAAAACAGTATACTTGACATAAAAGCCATATAAGATAGTTTTACAGGAGTTACCAAGACTTTTTTAGACTGCAAAAATCGTCATATGACACATTCTAGATAAATGGGTTTTGCAACATATTTGCTTCTTCAGGATCTTGTGTCAAGATAAAAAGTTTGTAGCAATTCACTTTATCCAAACTTGGAAAAAAAAAAAGGTCATCCTGGGGTTATGGCCCCCTTATTGTCTGAACTATATGAAATGAATAAATTCACATCAAGCCAAGTCTGCCGTGATTTGAAAATAATATGAAGCTAGGTGCCCTTGACCCCTGGATGACGTTACTCTTCTAGATTGGATTACTGAATCCAGCTGAATGCTTAAAAGTTTTGAGGCTCACTGATTAATCATAAATATTTGCTCCTCCACTTGATGCTGTGCTCTGTAACATTATATGTAATCCAACAATTCTGTAATTCATTGGATTCACATAAGCACCTTAATAAATACCAGCTTTAGTCTGGTTTAGCCTACAGTTATCCAAGCGCTACAATGGACCACCAGTGGAGAAGGAAGGCTGGAAAAAAAGTGATCATTTTTAAGCTGGGGGCTTCTAAATTTTATTAAAACTCCCTTAGGATGAGTAAAGTCTTGATAGTAAAGGGATATCCAATGGTAAAAAAAAAAAGGTACAGTTAAGAAGCGCTGTGGCAAGTTACTAGTTATTAATATATGTAAACCACATACAAATTCCTGCATATGTATTATGTGGAAAGAATAACAGCATTAAAGAATAAAAAGTGTTCAGTAACAAAAACAACACCTACACAAATCAAACAGCCACAATTTGATCCTGTTCTAGGTACTTTTAAGAATGTAACTTCATCTGCCAAAATTGCCCACATACCTCATCGTAACCAAATAACCAGAGTCTTGGTGTTTGATAATACTTGTCATATGTGATGTAAAGGTCATATGTCCTAGTCTGTAAGATAGCATCATCACCCACAACATCTGTCTTTGGTTTGCATGCTTCTGCAATTTTTGCTGCGTCCACAGTTGCCTAATTTGAGAAGAAAAAAAAAAAAAAAGTCAAGTCCTCCATTGCATTGGATGCTACAATAATGCCGGACACAGTCATTCAAAAACATAATTTCTGAATAAATAAAATCTTCTTGATTAAACCCACCATTCCCACGCCATACACACACATTCCAAAAACTATAAAAAAAACAGAACTATTTCATTCATCCTGCAAGCTGAACACATTTAGCAAGTTCCCAAGGTCCTTCATCAACGCCAACAGCACGGATGGATGATTTCCCACTGACAGGCTACTGACCCAGACACCCAGACAGTGCCTGCATCTGGTTGGATCCAAGTGCTGCTCAGCAGACAATTTTCTGACAGGCTCCTTCCACAAAAGTTAACTGAGCAAACGACATTGCTGAACAGAGCAGTACTGGCAGATCATAAACTGCTCAAATTTTGGTCAACCCAAGCACAAGATGGCTCCTGACTGGTGGGAGGGATGGGAGGACCAGTACTCTTGTTTCCGTCAGAAAAGGGAAATTTCTCCTGCTCCTACAGAAGAGGACACTGCTTACTGCATGTAGCCAATGCTACTACAGTGCACTGAGGTATGACCTTTACAGGATATGGATAATTTAACAGAACCAAGCTGGCCCCTATTGGATCCATTTTATGTGCATATATTCCTGGAGTTCTGTTTTAAACTGGAACTCAAGACTATCTTTTTATTTCTTTAAAGAGGATTGGGAAAGATTATAACCCTTATCAAGTTATTCCATCTATTGGTGTCCCATTTGGTAGATTTCTTCGTTCCTGTTCCTGGGACACCAGTGCACTGCTGTAAGGCGATTTCCTACCTTGCTCTGGACTGCTTTCTTCATACATTCACATGAATTGGCTGGACAAATCCTAGCCATCAGTTCATCAAGTGATTGGAAAGGCTCTTGGCAACTGAGATGTCCTGCTCATCGCGAGTCCCCAGCGCCATCATGTTTACTAAGGAGAGGGGTTTTGAGAGGGGGGGAGAGCGAACTTCTAACCTGGGGGGGATGGGGTGCACTGTATTTAGGGACAGTGAAAGGGGAGCCTTCTCCGACTGTCATAATTCAAAGACGCACACAGCTGTATCATTCATTCAGTTTCCTGTGAATGAATGAACGAACTACAAATAGGGTCTGCCATTGCTGGAGATACAGGCAGACAGTGTACTGAAAGTCTACAGGATCCTGGCATTGCCTGCAAAAAGACGTGCATTTATTATTATTAATAATAATATATTATTCATTTTTATAAAAGATGAATTTTCCTTTTAAATGGTTTGTCTTAAGCCTCTACCTGATATTTTTGCTGGGCAGCTAGGTCTATTAAAGAAAGTAAAATATAAGACTCACTGGCTGATCACCAGGAAAAAAAAAAAAAAAAAAAAAAAAAGCTTTAGAAGAAACCAAAACGCAGTCACCACATGCAAGCTTTGATAAGCTGCAATATATTATATGCCTGTATACAAACACTGCCACCTTCAGGCTACAATATTCATATGCAATGCCTTCTGTTTAATGTTTAATTAGAATATTTAAAAGGAATTTTTTTTTTTTAAATAACAAACATGTTATACTTACCTGCTTTGTGCAATGGTATTGCGCAGAGCAGCCCCGATCCTCCTATTTTGGGGTGTCCCAAAGGCGCTCCTGGATCCTCACCCTGCCAAGTGCCCCCACTGCAAGCCACTCATGCCCCCCGCTCTCTCCTCTCTGGCTATGAGTCACAGCAGCAGGAGCCAAGAGCTCTCACGGTTACCCTTCTATCCCATGAGCAGAGAGAGCTGACAGCCACTACTCTCATACACAGTGCTGGGTTGAGATCGTGCTCAGGTAAGTATAAGTAGGGGCTGGGAGGTGGAGGAGAAGAGTGGTACATAGGTTATTTACCTTAATGGTCGAGTATTATGCATTAAAGTGAAAAACCTCCTGCCTTTAGATCCACTTTAAAAACAGAACAACACAAACAATCAGAATAAATTAATTAAAACCATTTTTTGCTACACATTTACAGTGGGGAAAATAATTATTTGATCCCCTGTAGATTTTGTAAGTTTGCCCACTTACAAAGAAATGAGGGGTCTATAAAACTTTTATCATAGGTGTATTTTTAAATGATAGAGATGGAATAACAGCCAAAAAAAAAACAAAAAAAAAAAAACACGATACAAAATGTTATAAATTGAGTTGCAGTTCAGTGAGTAAAATAAGTATTTGATCCCCAAGCAAAATATGACTTAGTACTTGGTGGAGAAACCCTTGTTGGCAAGCAAGAGGCAAGACGTTTCTTGTAGTTTACCAAGTTTGCACACTTCTCAGGTGGGATTTTGGTCCACTCTTCTTTACAGATCTTTCCTAAATCTGTAAGGATTATTGGCTGTCATTTGGCAACTTGAACTTTCAGCTCCCTCCATAAATTTTCTATAGGATTAGGGCCTGGAGACTGCCTAGGCTACTCCATGACCTTAATGTGCTTCTTCTTGAGCCACACCTTTGTTGCTTTAGCAGTATGTTTTGGGTAATTGCTAATGCTGTAAGTCCCATCAATGACCCATCTTCAGTGTTCTGGCTAAAGGAAGAAGGTTCTCATCTAAGAATTTACAATACATGGCCGCATCCATTGGCCCCTCAATGAAGCATAGTCGCCTGTACCTTTAGCAGATAAATCTCCTCTTTCTTCATGTGTCCAATTTTCAACAAACATTTTCCCTGTGTCATTCCATGTTATTTTACCCGCTGTGTGATATATATATATATATATATATATATATATTATTATACACATACACACACATACATACATACACACCCACGCAATATATATACTCATATATTCACAAACACTAAAGGAACACTTTTTAATCAGAGTATAGCATCAAATCAATTAAACTCCTGGGATATTGATCTGGTCAGTTAAGTAGTAGAGGGGTTGTAATCAGTTTCAGCTACTTTGGTGTTAATGAAATTAACAACAGGTACACTACATGGGCAACAATGAGACGACCCCCAAAACAAGAATGGTTTTGCAGGTGGTAGCCACTGACATTTTTTTTCCCCCTACTCATCTTTTCTAACTGTTTTTCACTAGTTCTGCATTTGGCTAGGGTCAGTGTCACTACTGTTAGACTGGACCCTGCAGAGGTTGCACAGGCAATTCAACTCCTCCAGGATGGCACATCAATACGTGCCATTGCCAGAAGGTTTGCTGTGTCTCCCAGCACTCAAGGGCATGGAAGAGATTCCAGGAGACAGGCAGCTACTCTAAGAGAGCTGGACAGGGCTGTAGAAGGTCCTTAATCCATCAACAGGACCTGATATGCTCCAGGATCTGCTCCTTTGTGCAAGGAGGAACAGGGTGAGCACTGCCAGAGCCCTAGAATATTACCTCTAGCAGGCCACTGGTGTGAATGTCCCTGATCAATCAGAAACAGACTTCATGAGGGTGGCCTGAGGGCCCGACATCCTCTAGTGGGCCCTGTGCTCACTGCCCAGCACCATAGAGCTCAATTGGCATTTGCCATTGAACACCAGAATTGGCAGGTCCGCCACTGGCACCCTGTGCTTTTCACAGGTGAGAGCAGGTTCACCCTGAGCACGTGACAGACATGAAAGGGTCTAGAGAAGCTGTGGAGAATGTTATGATGCCTGTAACATCATTCAACATGACCATTTTGGTGGTGGGTCAGTGATGGTCTTGGGAGGCATATCCATAGAGGGACACACAGACCTCTACAGGCTAGACCAGGGGTGGGCAAACTTTTTGACTTGAGGGCCGCAATGGGTTCATATATTGGACCCGGGGGCCGGACCAAGAGTAGATGAATGATGTGTATGTGTCATCCATAGTAAGTATAGTAATATTCCCCCATAGTAAGCATAGTAATTAATCCCCCATATAGTAATTCATCTCCCATAGTAATTCATCCCCCATATAGTAATTCATCCCCCATATAGTAATTCGTCCCCCATATAGTAAATTCGTCCCCCATATAGCAATTCATCCCCCTTATAGCAATTCATCCCCCATATAGTAATTCATCCCCCATATAGTAATTCATCCCCCATATAGTAATTCATCCCCCATAGTAATTCATCCCCCATAGTAATTCATCCCCCACATAGTAATTCATCCCCCATATAGTAATTCATCCCCCATAGTAATTCATCCCCCACATAGTAATTCATCCCCCACATAGTAATTCATCCCCCATATTAATTCATCCCCCATATTAATTCATCCCCCATATTAATTCATCCCCCATATAGTAATTCATCCCCATATAGTAATTCATCCCCCAGTATAGTCCCCCATATAGTAAGTCCCCCATATAGTAATTCATTCCCCATATAGTAAGTCCCCCATATAGTAATTCATTCCCCATATAGTAAGTCCCCCATATAGTAATTCATTCCCCATATAGTAAGTCCCCCATATAGTAATTCATCCCCCATATAGTAATTCATTCCCCATATAGTAAGTCCCCCATATAGTAATTCATTCCCCATATAGTAAGTCCCCCATATAGTAATTCATCCCCCATATAGTAAGTCCCCCATATAGTAATTCATTCCCCATATAGTAAGTCCCCCATATAGTAATTCATTCCCCATATAGTAAGTCCCCCATATAGTAATTCATCCCCCATATAGTAAGTCCCCCATATAGTAATTCATTCCCCATATAGTAAGTCCCCCATATAGTAATTCATCCCCCATATAGTAAGTCCTCCATATAGTAATTCATTCCCCATATAGTAAGCCCCCCCTGTGTCAATTCACTTACCTTTGCTCCTCCGCGCGTTCCTCTCGTATTCCCGCGCCGTTCTGGTCTTCAGGGAGGACTGTGTGAGAAGAGAGTCAGAGTTCGTCACGCTGCCCCGCCTACATCCTGGCTGCCCCGCCTACATCCTGACAGCTGCAGAGTTGACGCCCGAGAGGAGGGAGGGGGCGGCCATCCTAGAGGGGGGGCGGCCATCCGAGAGGAGGGGAGGGGAGAGGAGGAGAGGAGGTCGCCCGCCCGCCCGAGAGGAGGGAGGGGAGCGGGCGCCCGGCACACAGGAGAGCCGCATCTATTGTAAAGAGCGCGGCTTGCCGACCACTGGCCTTGCGGGAGCCTAGCTCCGCGGGCCGGATTAAAAGGTCCGCCGGGCCGTATACGGCCCGCGGGCCGTAGTTTGCCCATTGCTGGGCTAGACAATGGCACCCTTACTGCCATTAGGTGTCGGGGTGAAATCCTCAGACCCGTTGTCAGACCCTACGATGGTGCAGTGGGTCCTGGGTTTCTCCTGGTGCATGACAATACCCGGCCTCATGTGGCAAGAGTATGCAGGCAGTTCCTGATAAAGGAATTGATACCAATGAATGGCCCCCACGCTTGCATGACCTAAATCCAATAGAACACCTCTGGGATATCATGTTTCAGTCCATCCGACGTCTCCAGGTTGCACCTCAGACTGTCCAAGAGCTCAGTGATGCCCTGGTCCAAATCTGGGAGGAAATACCCCAGGACACCCTTCATAGTCTCATTAGGAGCATGCCCCAATGTTGTCAGGCATGTATGCAAGCACCTGGGGCCATACAAACTACTGAGTACCATTTTGTGTTGCTGCAATGAAATTTCAGCCAAATGGACTAGCCTGCTGCATCATTTTTTCGCTTTGACTTTTGGGGTGTCTTTGAATTCAGTCCTCTGTATGTTCATAATTTTCATTTCCATCAAACGATAGGGCATCCTTATGTTGCTAACACATTACCCAGTCCGTATCAGTATAGATAACCAGCATGATATTTATCCCCATTGAGAACTGATGGGTTTTCAAAGTGTTCCTTTAATTTGTCTTTAAATATACAAAAAATTCTAAGGCTTACGTCATCATTTTCCAGCAATCCGCTTTCTTCATACTCTAAAAAAGAAAGAAAATTATAAATTTGGCTTACAAATGTTTTGGTTTCTTGGTTTCCAGCCCTTTCTGTTCGATTAGTCTATTCCACGTATATTTATCTAAAGTTGTGCATTTCTGTTGGGCAATGCACATCATTCTAGTTGATCAGTGTTCTAAAGAGTAACTGAACTCTAAAAGCTGTACCCAAAAAACGTCAGGAGGAAAGCAAAGGGCTAGTCAGCACTACTGCCTGTGCTCTACCTGCTGCTGATTTTTCTGCGTTACCGACCATGCCCTGTTCTGAACTGTCTTTTCCCATCTTTTTAGAGGTAGAACTTTGTGTCCTAATGGCAAAACCTCCAGCAAGAACAACAGTGAGCAACCTAGTAGTGACATCATGAAATCTCATGAGACTAGTAGTCAGACAGCAGGGCCTTAGATTTTACACTGCAAATATACAGCTATGAGGATGCAGGCACAGTAGTAACTAGGCATGCTCACACACCAGAAAGTGTACTGTTTTTATTTAGGCGAAATTTACTGAGGTGAAGCAAGGGTCCTTTAGATCAGCGGTCTCCAAACTGCGGCCCAGGGGCCAGGTGCAGCCCTTTGCTTGCCTTTATCTGGCCCTTGGGGCACCATTTCATTCACCAACAATGATGTACAGTTCCTGCCAATGACACCAACAATGGGGCCCAATGACACTAATGATGGGGCACAATTCCTACCAATCACGCCAATGATGGAGCACAATTCCTCCCAATGATGGGGCACTAGTCCTACCAATGATACAAATGATGGGGCACTATTCCTACCAATGACGGGGCACAGTTCCTCCCCACAAACACGAACAATGGAGCCCAATGACTCTTATGATAGGGCACAATTCCTCCCAATGACGCCAATCATGGGGCACAATTCCTCCCAATGATGGAACACTATTCCTACTGATGACGGGGCACTATTCCTCCCGATGATACCGATGACGGGGCACAATTCCACCCAATGATACCGATGACGGGGCACAATTCCTCCCAATGATACCGATGACAGGGCTTCCTCCCAATGACGGGGCAAAATTCCTCCCAATGACATCAAGGATGGGGCATTGTTTATTCCAGCTAATGCTTGGACATTTTTACTACCCCCGGAGGCCACATTGTGGCCCCTCTAAAGTCTGAAAGACAGTAAACTGGCCCTTTGTTTAAAAAGTTTGGAGACCCCTGCTTTAGATAATAGGAAGGAACCAGAAAGCTCACTTTACACATTGACAATTAGTATAAAAAAAGTGTGACAGATGAGACGAAATTGAAGTTCAGTTAGTATTTTAAGCACACAACATTATGTTCAATGGCAAAAAGGAAGCCTGATCATATATGATCACTGATATTTTTGCCGATAGAGGTGCATAACCAGAGCATTTGAGAGTAATTGCAGTGTCTACTTCTTAAGGGCTGTTAGATTTGAAATTTAGCTCCTGAAGCAAGATATAGTACTCAAAAATGTGTCTTTATAGTAAGAAATTCTGTTTGTATAGATACTGAACAACACAAAGGTTTGGAACATAAAAATGTCTGTCTGTAAGCTTTAGTGACAGGCAAGTCCTTGATGTTATCCATCACCTATAGAAATGGACTTTCCAATTATAAAGATAGCTTTTTAATACTTTTTTCTTCTTTCTATAAAGTTCTAGAGAAACAGCCTGAATATCACAGATCACTATAATTGCCTCTAATGCATTTGCTATGTACCTCTGTACCTATGGAAAAAATAAACATATAGAGTGTGTTTGTGTGTATAATATATAACACTCACTCACACACTCACATACTCAGCCAATCCCTCCACTGGCTTCCACTTGCCCAACGAATAAAATTCAAAATACTAACAACAACTTACAAAGTCATCCACAACTCTGCCCCCAGCTACATCAATAACCTGGTCTCTAAATATCTACCAAACCGCTGTCTTCGATCCTCCCAAGACCTTCTGCTCTCTAGTTCCCGTATCAACTCCTCCCATGCTCGCCTCCAGGACTTCTCCAAAGCTTCTCCCATCCTATGGAACTCCCTACCCCAATCTGTCCGACTATCTCCTAATCTATCCACCTTTAGACGATGCCTGAAAACTGTTCTCTTTAAAGAAGCCTCTCCTGCTTCTAACTAGTAAACTGCATTTTATTTCCTCCATCAGCTCATCCCCCCACAGCTATTAATTTTTGTATCACTCAACCGTTCCTCCTAGATTGTAAGCTCTAACGAGCAGGGCCCTCTGTTTCCGCTTGTACCAAATTGTATTGTAACGGTTATGTCTACCTTCATTTTGTAAAGCGCTGCGCAAACTGTTGGCGCTATACAAATCCTGTATAATAATAATAATAATTTGTTGCTTATAGGACTATGTAGCTGCAGATCAGTCAAGGTGCCCATGCTGACCTGTTTCCACAATCCAAAGCACCTACAATAGGCAAGTGAGCAATGGAAGAGGTGGCCTGGTGAATTCAATTTTGGATGTTGACTTAGCCTCCAAATTCTCCAGATCTCAATCCAGTTGAGCATCCATGGGATGTTCTGGAAAAATAAGTCCAATCCATGGAGGCCCCACCTCACAACTTATAGGACCTAAAAGGAGGAGTCCATGCCTCAACAGGTTATGGTGGGTGGTCATAAAGTTATGGCTGATCGGTGTGGTGTGTGTGCATGTATGTATGTATGTATGTATGTATGTATGTGTAATATTGATCTTCTTGTCAATTATGTTCACCCCTCTAATGTGGAGTTGAGCGCTTACATATTGAATTTTAATTTTATTACACTTTTCGGTCATTCTCCCTCTTGATCAACATCCAGGCTTGTAGACTGCCACTGGTATAGTAAGCTGCAATTTTGCTCTATTTTTTTAATAGCAAGGAATGCCTTATAAGAAACTAGACTTACAGTTCTCATTTCCAAGAAAACTTGGTGAAGGGTAGGTATGGGAAACCTTGTTTATACAACTTTTGTCCCTCTAGCTACATACAGAAATTGGGTAAAACGCTGGCATACAACCAGTATATGACAATGTGGTTTTATGAAGAGAACATGGTTTACTGTTGATACCACGTTTCTTCAATCTAAAAAGTTCCTTCAACTATTTTATGCTCAGTCTATGCTGATAAATTTATCAGAAATGGAGTAAATGTGATAGTAATTTTTAACCACCATAAAACTCCTGGCAACAAATCTTCCTTTTGATTTATTATTAACAGTGGTGGGCATTAAAACACTTTCTGACAACTGTTAAAAAAAATATACTAAATATACTAAACTTATCAAGTGAGTGCGCCTCAATAAATAGCACATACAGCAAAATACAGGTGATTCAAGTTTTCATACATTCCAATATATCCAAAATCCTTTCCACATGTAAGCATCTCCAATAGTCTTCTTATATTCCACCTCCAGCAAATATGATGAAAATATACCACCAAACTGCTCCTGAAGCATAACTTCTGGTCCCGCGCATCCGGTAATCGACGCACGCCGACTCTAGGACAGGAACACAGCGGTAGCGTTGCCTTGGGAAATACTATATTTACTGTGCCAATGAGGCACTTTTAAATGTGAAAATAATTTTTACTTGTCTGCCAACATTGGTTTTAATAAACCTCCTGCACTATATTAACTTTTTCTTTGGTTTCTATGGTGGAGTGGAGGAGCCTCAATAGGATACAGATTTCCTACCTTGGTGCAAGCGGTGGAGTATCCAAAAGCAAATAAGTGCATGATGACCTTCTTTTTGATTAAAGGGGTCATTTTGATCTGGTGAGTGATGCACTCTCATGATTACAGTTTGGTGGTATATTTTCATCACATCTGGTGGAGATGGAATATAAAAGACTGGAGACACTTACATGTGGAAAGGACTTTGGATAGAATTGAATTTATGAACAACTGAATCACCTGTATTTTGTTATACAGTATGTGTTCTTATTGATTGAGGTACAGTTGTGTTCAATATATTAGCAGTCCAACTAACTAACCGAAGCCCGCTGTCGGCTGACATCACCGAGCCGGTCTAGGCTGGGGAAGGATCACAACCATCAGGATTCTGGAAAGTCTGGAAAGGCACCTGGCTAAGCCTCTCAGCAAGTCACTGAGAGCCTGAGCCAGCCGCCACCTCTCCTTCCACAGTCCAGCGCTCCCATGAGTGAAGAGGCGGCAGAGCAGACCACAGTGACAGACAGTCACCGCTCTCTGCTCACAGCAGCAGTGAGAACTTAGCGAAAAGTGGCCATGTGATTGCTGAGTTCTCACTCTTAGAGCCGGTGACGGGGACAGATGCAACATCAGACCGATACTGCATCCAAGTAGGTATGTATGATTTAAAAAAAAAAAAAAAAAAAAAAAAAATTTCCATACTTCTCTTTTAAAGATTTCTAGATTAGATGCAAAAGGAAGACTAATTTAACTACTTTGATTCTGCCTTACTACTCAACAGCTGTTGAGATCAGAAATCAAGCAAACAGAGTGTATAGATTTAAAATGAGCCGACTCACAGAATTAGATTTGGGATTTAGTTGAAGAAGATAAGGTTATTAATCTCACTGGTTTCTATCAGTAACTAATGTACCAACTTTGGGTGAACTAAAATTTTAGTTTCTTCAAAAATTCACCTTCCATATCTGCTGCTTCACCTTCATCATCATCGTCATCATCATTGCAAGCTGGGTTACCAACTGCTTTCCCAGAATCCTGGGGATAAAAATACAACAAGCACAGTTAATATTAATCAAGGACAAAATACACTGCATTTGTATTGTACCTTGTACTGCATGTTTTGTGGGCTATGTATGAGTAGCATATAAATAAAGAATTATTAGGAAAACACACATAAAAAAAAAATATCATGTTCAGCTTGAAAAAGTGCATGTGCAACACTTTGCAGACCAGAAACCAAGAGTATCAGCCATACAGAGGATTGGGTTTCAAGATATAGATGGATCGGGTTATTTTCCCAAATGAACAAAGAGTGATCTGTACCAATTACTCCTGTGTTCATTCATAATTGAAGCATAGTAAATAGTGAAAAGTTAAAAAAAAGAAAACAAAATAAAGGCAAAAGGAACATGCTACACTCATATTTAGCGTGTACCATGTAACCTGTTCCTAAGCACCCGCTTCCAGCCCCCAGTATCCCCCTCCCTCTGCAGTCGATGTTGGCGGCCGCTCTGCTCACAAAGCCACATCATTCATTCACAAAGATCTGTGAACAAAGAAACTACAAATCCCGTCTGCCACCGCGGACAGACTTGTAGTTCTAAATTGACTACTAGAGCAGTAATCGGCGCACTTAGTCCATTGAATCTTCCTCCAGCTTTTTAACTGAAAGCTCATGTATGCGCAAGCCTGACACTGTACCCATGATCCACTGCTTGCAGGTGCAATGCTTTGCATGCTCCCGAGGAAAAAAAAATAAAAGCAATAAATACACAAAGTTTTTTTTCCCTGCCAATATTGTGCATTTATTTATTTAAAGGTGAACTTAGGGGAAATAAATATATAACTAAACCCATAAATACTTGAAGATAAAAAAAAAAATAAAAAAAAAATCTAATGTCTTAATGCAGTTTTGCAATATTGGCATGTGTCAATTAAACTGCACATATCTTTGCAACTATTTTGCGTTTCCAGTTGTATTATACCTTATTTTTTCAGGACAAATTGGCCATTCATTTGGTGGTAAATGTTAAAGGATACCACCTGAATTTATTTTATTAACAAAAGGAAATCTCGAGACTATGGGGGGCTATTTACCAAAAACTGCAGTGCAAAACCTGGTGCAGCTCTGCATAGAAACCAATCAGCTTCCAGGTTTTATTGTCAAAGCTTAACCGTACAAGCTGTAGTTAGGATCTGGTGCAGCTGTGCATGGTAGCCAGTCAGCTTCTGAGTAAACCAGTTTTAGTAAATCCCCCACTTTGTGTCATTTTTGTTTGGGCAATAAAGAGCACACTACATAATGATCAAACTTTCAGTTCTTTATTTGGAGAAAAAAAAAAAAAACCTGCACGCTGACATCAACATTGGTTCTTACACAAATGCTGACAAGTCGACACACAAACAGTAAATCTAAAACCTTTATTTATTTATGATCCTAAGACACCGATAATCAGACTGGCACTGACACAAATGTTAACACTTAAACTAGCACTGACTCTAGAAGGCCTCTTGCACACTGCAGCATGAAAAAAATACTTAGTACAGTGTTTCTCTTTTACTGAGATAAAGTGTAGCCCATTATTTACAATGTACACACAGGTGCGTAAAAAAGGGACACATATTCCTTAGTATAAAAACAAAAATAAAAAAATTATATATATATATATATATATATATATATATATATATATATATATATATATATATATATATATATATATATATATATATATATATATAGTGTATGCGCGAACGTGCATATGCACAATAATACACATGAGTGCAACTATGCATATAAATACATGTGAATATGTGCAAAACAAGTGCCTGAAATTACATTTTAAAAAGCAGATGCTCAATCAGTACCGTGTGCGAGAGGCCTAATGATGGCAGAAACACTGAATCGGACTAATGCTAACAGGATGTTTTGATTTGTCATTTATAAAACTTGATAATACAGTTACAGTTCTACCTTTTATATTTAGCAGGCTGTTATGTTTTGTTTGCCAGTGCTAATACCAAATTAGTGTGTGTTTAGTAAAAGTATCCGCACTGATAAAACATTTGTGCATCTATCATTGGACCGACAAAATCAGTAGCATCATCTTTTCTTCTACCAGGCTGATGCTTTGAAAAGAAAAAAAAAAAAAAGAAAAAGAAAAAGGTGTATAGCTTGTGGGGGTCTTCTACAAACTGAAAGCTGAAAAAGGAGAAAGAAAAAAAAAAAAAAAAAAAAAAACACGGTCTGGCCACCTGAGGTTTAGAGTGTTAGAGCAGGGCCTGGAAGGGAAAGGGTTAAAAGGATCATAGCTGCAATTTAACAATGGTATTATCAAAGCTTTTCTTGATTTCAAGCAAGCCTCACACCAACCTGGGACTCAAGTGTTATTTCCTTTACGGACTCTGTTAGGTTGCCCACACCTAAAGAAAAAATAAATCAATATGCAAAAAATTAATCCCAGTTTAAGTAATTCCATTACTTTAAAAATCATATATAAAAAGTAATAAAATAAAGAAGCCTAAAAAAAAAAAAAATCTGGAATTCAGGTCTGGAGATAATAGGTATTAAAAAAATAAAGCTGAATACCAAAGTTACACACAGAGTATTCTGGAAGGTGACATATTTTATGTCATTCTGTAAGCAAAAGCACCAAGTTGGTCATAGACGGACCAAGAATAATTTGTCCGTTTCAGCAGGGACCAGTCAAATTTCAATCAAAGTGTTTCTGCTCAACAGAAGTTGAATGTTTGATCAACTTCTGTCGACGGGATGTGCTCGAAAACTTTTGTTGATTACCAGCAGCTGCTGTGACAATACAGTGTGGGAAGAGGGGGAGATTCATTCATCCACCTCATTTGTGTGGATGGAGAAATCGTTTTTTTTTTTTTTCCAGTCCGTGGCAAAAAAAAAAAAAAACAAACCCCTATCTATAGCCAGCTTCAGAGGTATGCATTTTTTTTTTTATTTAGAATTTGTAAAACTGTTGTTTTTATTATATATGCAGTGCACATGTACTATAATGTACTATATTTGCAGTATATGTAGTACAAAAAACAAGGCCCCAACCCCCCCTAGCTGAGGTCAAGCTGTCTGCTGAGATGCAGTGAGAGGAAATGAACTAACCACTTCCCTAGGGCAGATTGCGTAGGTGAAGTCTATGTGGCAGAAACTGAAGTACCTGAAGATTATTTAAGAACCAAACCTGTCATAATTTCCAGATACTTAAAGCGGTGTTCCACCTGAAAAAAACATAAAACATAAAAGTGAGCAGCTACAAAAAAACTGTAGCTGCTGACTTTTAAAATACAGACACTTACCTGTTCCTCATTCTAGCGGAGTCCTCACCACCGCTGGTTTCACCAGCCGTTTTCTCACCCTGGCGCCAGCATCTTCAGTGTGGGCACCCGGCTGTGACAGCTTGCGGCTTCACAACCTGGTGCCCACTCTGCATGCGCAAGAAGCGCTCCGCTTTCTGAATGGCCCCCGTAGGTTTTCTGGGACCCGTCATGTGTCCCAGAAGACTACAGGGGGGAGCAGGACAACTTCCGCTTCCGATCGCCTAGGCCAGGGGTGGGCAACTGTGGCCCTCCAGCTGTTGTAGAACTACAAGTCCCATGAGGCATTGCAAAACTGACAGTTACATGCATGATTCCCAAAGGCAGAGGCATGATGGGATTTGTAGTTCACCAACAGCTGGAGGGCCACAGTTGCCCACCCGTGGCCTAGGCGATCGCAGCGGAAGTGGAAGCAGATACCTGTCAAATTTGGGTACCCCCCAGGTCCCCAGAGGTGCCAAAACATAATGGGGGAGTGGGGGACAAAGGCTTAAAGCGGAACTTCCCTTTTGGGTGGAGCTCCGCTTTAAAACACAATTCTGCAAAGTGCACTCTTTTAAATGCTATTTTGCAGGTATTTTTTTTAAAATTCTAGAAGTCCAGAACTTCAGTAAGGCATCTGGGTTATGACCTCAAGCATTCCTTGCTTTAAACATACCTACCGATTGACCTGTTTTCAAGAAATAAAATATGGATTGCACGGACATTCATTAAACATTACATATACAAAAAAACGTACCTGCATGATGAAATGTGTCAACCCAGCCACCATCACCATCATCCTCTTCTATAATTGCCTCTTGCTCATCTGAATATTCCATCTGTTTACATCTTTTGTAACATGGAACTAAAGTAGTAATAACTGTATTATTGAATGCTCTCCTGTAAATCTTAACATTAAAATGCAAACCACAGTTATCTGACCATTAAAGCCGCTTGCGCACAGTATTGACGTTTGAGCATCTACTTTTTTTTGATGGTAACTCCAGGCACTTGTTTTGTACATATGTCCATTCACACAATTAAGATCTTCTACACATTGCACAGTGGTGTCATAAGAGACTTTTTCATGGGACTTTAACCACTTGCCCTCCTGAGGATTTAACCCCCTTCCTGACCAGGCTTTTATTTTGTGTTACGATATTGCGTTAATTTAGCTGACAATTGCGCGGTCATGCAACGCTGCACCCAAATTAAATTTATGTCCTTTTTTTTCCCCACAAATTGAGCTTTCTTTCGGTAGATATTTGATTGCCTGTGCATTTTTTGTGCTATAAAAAAGATCGACAATTTTGAGAAAAAAAAAAACAAAGCAATATTTTGAGTTTTTGCCATTGAACATGACCAGTAAAAAGATGAAAAAAAAAAAATCTAATTTCCTCCTAAATTTAGGCAAAATGTATTCTACTACATGTCTAAAAAAAAAAAAAAAAAAAAAAGCCCAATACGTGTAAATTAATTGGTTTACATGAAAGTTATAGAGTTTACAAATGGTGGTATATATACTGGAATTTTTTATTTTATTTTTACTACTAATGGCGGCAATCAGCGACTTATAGCGGGACTGCAGTGGACATTCTGACACTAGGGGGGACTTGGTGTCACCGACATCCTCAGTGACACCAGTACAGTGGTCCGTGCAAAAAAAAAAAAAAAAAAAAAAGCACTGACACTGTACGGCACTGGGCAGGAAGGGGTTAACATGAGGGAAGATCAAAGGGTTAACTGTGTGCTTGGTGTGTTTCACTATGGGGCTGTGTCTGTGTGCTTTACTGTAAGCACATTGCTTTGAATGGCTGAGCACAGCCATCCAAAGCAGTGTGTCTGAGCTGACAGGGAGGAGAACTGTTAGTAAACAAAACAGTTCTCCCCGTCAGAGATCCTCGGTAATCACTGAGTGCCAGCAAGTAATTACCGGCTGGGATCCGGTGATTGACAGAAGCGGCCATGAATGGCTGCGCGGGTAGGGCGCACACACGCACCCCCTACCCGGAGGTGCGAAACCACGTATATATACCGATTTTGCACACCCATGCCACCCTGTAGCAGTATTTCTGCTATAGGGTGGTTGGGAAGCAGTTAATTATTGTTTAGTATTTTTATATGAGATATTAGTCTGTTGAACTACACTTTATTGTTATTCATTTTGGTACAGGTGTGGTGAGGTCACTAACAGTGCTCTAAATAGCCATTATATTATTTTAAGGTATGTTGCGCTGATTGAATAGGGGTTTAGGCATTAATTACTGACCAAAAATGCAGATTTTCCTATAGTTTTGTTTACGAAGGAATACACGGCACTGATTTACTCGCCTGTGCAAAGGCACATTGTAAATAATAGGCTACATTTTACCTCTGTAAAAAAAAAAATGAAAGAAAAAAAAAAAAAAATCACCCCGTTTCCACTGTTATTTTACATAATGATAGTTAACAACTGCCTAACATATGTAGTTTTAAAAAACACAGTCTAATATCTGTTACTTTAAGGTATATGTAAATTCTCAAACAACAACCCATTTAGTTTAAAGTGGTAGTACACCTCGGCTTTTTTTTTTAAATCCCCTGCAAGGCATCGCTGATAGGGCTTCATCTTCACGCGGTCTTCCTTCCAGGCTAGCGGGCTGCAACAGCTTGAATGGCCGGGCCCGCAAGGCTCTCCACCACACGTGAGCCACAGGCCACAGCATGTTGTTATGTTATAACAATGCTGCCTGTAACATCATTCAGCATGACAGTTTTGGTGGTGGTTCAGTGATGGTCTGGGGAGGCACATCCAGGGAGTTACACACAGACCTCTATAGGCTAGACATTGGCACCCTGACTGCCATTAGGTATCAGGATGAAATCTTTGGACCCATTGTCAGACCCTACCCTGGTGCAGTGGGTCCTGAGTTCCTCCTGGTGCACCACAATGCCCGGCCTCATGTGACAAGAGTATGCAGGCAGTTAATAGAGGATGAAGGAATTCATACCATTGAATAGCCCCCACGCTCGCCTGACCTGAACCCAATAGAACACCTCTGGGATATCATGTTTCAGTCCATCCGACACCACCAGGTTGCACTTCAGACTGTCCAGGAGCTCAGTGATGCCCTGGTCCAGATCTGAGAGGAAATACCCCAGGACACCCTCCGTCGTCTCATTAGGAGCATGCCCCGACGTTGTCAGTCATGCATACAAGCACGTGGGGGCCATACAAAACTGAGTACCATTTTGAGCTGCTCCAATGAAATTTCAGCAAAATGGACTAGCCTGCTGCATCATTTTTTCACTTTGATTTTCCAGGTGTATTTGAGGGATATGAAAATTATCAACCTACAGAGGACTGAATTCAAACTGTGGGACTCCTTTCGTTCCTAACACATTACCCAGTATGTATGTATGTATGTATGTATGTATGTATGTATGTATGTATGTATCGCAAAAAAATGTCAGTAGCAGAGAGTGCCTTGTTAAAATCCATGCTAGCTTTTTTATGGTCATCTTTGTCTCATGAGGGAGATTTACCTTTAAGCATTTCCTCTCCTTTAGGCACAGCAGGAGGTTAACAATTTTTTATTGGTTTTCGTGAAATACAAACAATATATTTCAAAGAATCAGAAGAGAAAATAAACATAACAGAAAGGTACATCGATGGCAGAGTTAAATAGGGTCAGGACCAGCTAAATCATAATTAACAGTGTGAAAAATATCAGGGCCTTGCAATGTGGGCCGGCATAGAAGAAGTGAAAGTATCCCATGGGAGCCAAATCATCTCAAATACAGCAAACGAACAACTATGTAGTGCAGTCAAATATTCCATCTGTCTTACATCAGCAATAAGTTTGTACAAAATCGGCATTGAAGGAGGATCAGAGGACAACCAACACATAGGAATGCTTCTCCTGGCCGCGGTCAGCACATGGACAGCGAGTTTCCTGGATAATTTAGGTAGTCCTGGGAATGGTAAACCCAGCAAAAAATGTAGTGGATCAAGTGGGAGAGAGACACGCAGCAATGAATTCAGCAAGGAGAGAACATCCTGCCAAAAAGGAGCAATGGAGCTGCATGTCCAAAAAATATGATAGAGAGAACCGAGGTCTCTACTACAGCGCCAGCAATCAGGAGAAGCATTCGGATTATAAGCATGCAGAACTTCAGGTGTTTTGTACCATAACATCATGATCTTGTAAATATTTTCCTTAAAAACCACACAGACAGAAGATCTAGATGCATTTTCCCAAATTTTCTGCCATGTCAATAAATCAATATCGCATTGTATAAATTGAGACCACCTACGCATATAAAGGTGAGTATTGTTGGATAAAGAGGGGGCTTCCATAAGAAGTTTATATGTATTAGAGATTATACCCCTGTGATGGGGACCCTGCATACATAGACGTTCGAAGGGAGTAGGCTTCCCCAGAGTCAATGAAGGTGATAAAGTGGAAAAAAAGTGGCGTATTTGAAGATAAATATATAGGTGTTGAGGAGGTAAAAGGGCTTTTTTCTGGAGAACTGGGAATGAGTGTAACTTACGAGTCACCGGGTGTACCAAGTGACGCAATTGAAAAAGGTTAGCTACAGCCCAATGAGACATCCGGGACATGGCCATGTTGTCTGGGAGATTAGGGTTACAGAGGATATTCGTCAGTGGGGAGCAATCAGAGGCCAGTGAAAATTTAGCCTTACATTTCCGCCAAACAGTCAGAGAAAATTGCATGGGACCAAGGAATAAATGGCGAAAGGAGGAGACATCCACTGCTGAGGTCGACCAAAGGAGAGAACATAGATGGGCTTGGGACAGTTGCAAGGATTCGATCTCAGTCCATGTGTTGGGAGGATAATGGGAAGACCATGACATGAGAAAACGAAGGTGAGTTGCGTAGTAATATGTTATTATATCCGGAGCCCCCAAGCCCCCCCTAGATCGTGGGGATAGCAAAACAGAACGTGCAATCCTGTGCCGCTTGTTGTGCCAAATAAAATGCAGGAAAGATTTCTGAAGAGAGTGGAGTTTGGACATAGGAACGGGGGGGAGGGTCGCAAACAGGTATAAAAGTTTAGGTAACACTGTCATTTTTAATACATTAATGCGTCCGAGGAAAGAAATGGGCAGAGCATCCCATTGTTTCAGGGAGCGAGAAATTGCAATAAATAGTGGAGGGAAATTGGCCTCGTATATGGATTGGTAAGAGGAAGTAAGATGAGTACCTAAATATTTTAAAGAATGGGTGCACCACCGGTAGGGAAAAGCTTCCTGAAGCGAGGATAGAACGGCTGGTGAGACGTGTATTGGGAGTGCCTCAGTTTTAGACGTATTAACTTTGTAGCCTGATATAGCCCCAAATTGTTTCAAGGTCAGATGCAAAATCGGTAAAGAAGTAAAGGGACTCGTGAGTGTGAGGAGAATGTCGTCAGCAAACAGCGATAACTTGTACTCATGGGTATGGGAATGTATCCCGCGAATATCCGGATTCGACCTGATGGATGTGGCCAACGGCTCCAGGCAAAGAATAAACAGTAAGGGAGAGAGTGGACAACCCTGACGAGTGCCATTGGACATCTGAAAAGGGAGTGAGAGAAAAGAGGCTAATCTGACCTGCGAAAATGGGGAAGAGTAAAGGGCCTTCAAGGCTGCTACAAATGGGCCTCTGAAACCAAATCTCTCCAAGACCATGAACATGTAAGGCCAACTTAACCGGTCGAAAGCTTTTTGAGCGTCTAAGCTCAATAACACAGCAGGGGTGGAAGATCGGTTAACCAGATCAACCAGATCAATAGATCTCCTGGTGTTATCTGCAGCATGTCTGGAAGGTACAAAGCCCACTTGGTCCCTATGTATGAGTTTGGAAATAATTCCAGACAATCGGTTGGCTAAAATTTTAGTGAAAATCTTGTAGTCGGAATTAAGTAGTGCAATCGGACGATAGTTGTCTACAATAGA